TTTAATGTATGTCTTTCTTTATTACTTTTTATATCTTTCTGTTTTTATTACTTTTTTATTTTATTTGAAATAATACTAACCAGTCATTTCTTTGTTCCTTTTTTTATGGGTGGTGTTTTTGATTATTTTTTCTTCACTTTTTTTCATCTTTCTATCATTTTTTTCACTTCTTTTTTACCCTTTATTATTTTATTTCTTTCTCCTTTTTACTTCTTTTTTATTCTCCATCATCCATTCATCCTTTTATTTCTTTTATTTTTCATTATTATTTTCGCTTTCTTTTCTTTTCCTATCACTCTTTACACTTCCTTCTCACTTCCCGTTGTAACCATGGATATTGAACTTAATAGAATAGATGAATAATATATCGAATAGAAGATTACATGGTAGAAAATCACATGATCGAATAAATAATTAGCCAGAAAGGATAAACATTTAGGAGAAGAAATGATCTACATGATGTAATATTTATTAAATGATTAATGACGAACCAATAGATCAATCAGGGGGTCGATCGATGCGGCTTAGCAACCAGTTTATCAAGTTCATCAACAGGAATAATTAGGAGGAGGAGCTATAAGCCACAAAAGATAGATTATGGGACAATATGAAAAGATAATATAAAAGATAATATAAAAAGATGATACAAAAAGATAGCACAGCCACAAAAGATGGATTATTTCTTTATGATATAATATTTGAAAGATTATGTTATTTTAAAGAGAAGATAAAAAAAAAGATAACACAGCCACAAAAGATGGATTATAAATTATTTCTTTACGATGTAATATTTGAAAGATAGAAAAGATAACTTATAAAATAGTATATAAAATAGCATATTAGAAAAGATAAAATAGCATATAAAAATAATATAGAAAAGATCATGTATAAAAGATAGCGTATTAAAGATAACACATAACATAAAATATTAGATAAGAAGTAAGAAGTAAGAAAAGAAAGAATAAGAAAGTTTGTTTAAATAGGAGCGGAATGGGAAGTGAATTCCACAGTCGCAAGTGAGGATTTTAAATTTTAGGTAATTTAGTTGGTTGTGAATTTTATGAAGATCAAAATATAAATAAAGTACTTTTTACCCATTAATTAATGATTATCGACTCTTTTATACTGTTTTCTTATGATGAAAAAGTATGTTAAATAATGAGTTCCTTTACCATTTGATATATGAGAAACGCACGAACATAATAGTTTGGTTAGTCGGAATGTACACAATCATATGGGTGAAGGGTTCATAAATGTTTGTAAAAACGTTAATTATTAAAAGTTATTTCGAATATACTTATGGTTCACCTAAGTTTTAATTAATGTTAAATAAGTATTCAAATGATGAAGTAGATATGAATATAAAGAATTAGAAAATGATGAAAATTAAGTTAAAGCTTTAAAACTAAACCAAGCAAAAATATTAATGTTTCGCTGAGAGCACATATAATAGAAGCAGGGAACTTTGTTTACCGCCGGGTGGCAGACGGGGTGATACCGTTTGTTTACCATCATCTTTCTTACTTCTTTTTTATCTCCTATCATTCTTTTTACTTTCTTTTCACTTCATTTTTGTTCACCATCATCTTTTTCACTTCTTTTTCGTCTTCTATCATCCTTTTTTACTCCCTTTCTACTTCATTTTCGTTCACTATCATCTTTCTCACTTCCTTTTCATCTCCTATCACCCTTTTACTTCCTTCTCACTTTATTTTCGTTCACTATCATCTTTCTCACTTTTTTTTCATCTCCTATCATCCTTTTTACTTCCTTCTCACTTCATTTTTGTTCACTATTATCTTTCTCACTTTCTTTTCATCTTCTAACACCTTTTTCACTTCTTTTACATTTCCCTTTCACTTCCCTTTCATCCTTATCATCTTATTACACTTTCTTTTGTCCTTATTATCCTTTTTACACTTTTTTTCATTTCTTTTCTTTTCATTCCACGTCATTTCTTTTTGTTTCCTTTTTTCTTTCATAATTATTAACGTTATATCTTCTATTTCCTTTTTTTGCTTATTTATTAGCATTTTTTTCATTTTATCATTGTAATTTTTCTTTTTTTTTTTATCACTAGTATTTACCATTATTGTTAGTTTTTATTTCTTTAATCAATAAAATATATCCACTAAGTGTATAATTTTATAGTTTTAATATTGTATTTAACAAATAAAATTTTACTGTAAATAAAATATTCTTTAAAAATTAACCGATCAAAAATGAATCAGCCAATTAAAATTTTATTAAGTCATGTGATAGAGTCGCCATGGCGACAGATCGCCAAATAATATTACCCAAATATATATATCCGAATTAAAAATAAATATATTTGAATTTTATTAAAATATATATATATCCAAATTTTATTAATATATTCGAATTTTGTTAAAAATATATATCCAAATTTATTTTGTTAAAAAAAATACATATACCTAAATTTATTAAATTTATTTATGAAAAAATATTATACAAATTTATTTTAAAAAAAACATTATATAAATTTATTTATTAAAAAAAAACATTATATAAATTTATTTATTAAAGAACAAAAGCATTATATATTAAATAAATTTATTTATTAAAAAACATTATACGAGTTTTATTTATTAAAAAAAAAGCATTATACAAATTTAGTGATTATTTAAAAATATTATACAAATTTAATTATTAAAAAAAAATTAACGAGTTTACTTATTAAAATATATATTACATGAATTGATTTATTAAAAAAATTATATACCTGAATTTATTAAATTTTTTTACTAAAAAAATATTATACAAATTTATTTTAAAAAAAACATTATATGAATTTATTTATTAAAATAAAAGCATTATATATTAAAAAAAAAATTATTTATTAAAAAACATTATACGAGTTTATTCATTTAAAAAGCATTATATGATACAAATTTAGTAATTATTAAAAAACATTATATGAATTTAATTATCAAAAAAAAGTTATATGAATTTACTTATTAAAATATATATTATATAAATTGATTTATTAAAAAAAATTATATATATTACACAAATAAAAAAAAAATGTGGACATAGAATCATCCAAATTTGATTTGTGTAAAATAAATTTTATTGAATAATTTTATTTTGAATATGAATATAAATTATAATATACGTTTTATATAAAATTTTTAAAAAGTTTACTACAGCATGGTTAGAAACTGAAAAAATTTTTTTAAAAAAAATTGTTAAATGTTTTTTATAAATTAAAAAATTCAAGCCAATTACAAGATGATTAAATCAAAATGCAAAAAAACAATAAATTAAATTTTTTTTAGATGAAAAAAAAATAAAATAAATTATTTATTTATTTATACTGTATTTATTACCAATATTATTGTTTCTGCAAATAAGTGTTAAAATTTATGGTATATATCCTACTCTTAGTAAGGGCTGGTCATTGGCCCTAGGGTAGAGGTATGCTCTGGTGGAATCCGTTCAATCTGTCATCCGTTTTTTGACTGGATCAGATGATCCGGATTAAGAATGAACAGATTTCAGAAAATCCGGATGGATCCGTTGGATAATACCGGATTGATCGGATGTTACACAGATGATCGGATTGACCGGATTGATCAGATAATCTGGTCAAATCCGGTATTTTTTTTTTGCTTTTTTTTTTTTTTTTTTTTAAAAAAAAAAATATATATAAATATAAAAATATATAAAAAAAAATATAAAAATATAGAGCGTCTTCGCTTAGGACGTTCCCTTTACTTCGTTTTTCTAGGAAACACCTTCCTGGAACTGGATTTCGGCTTGAAGGTAAGTTAGAGGAGGTTTTTTTGTTTTTTTTTTATTTATTTATTTTTCTAACGTTTTTCTTTATTCTTTTTTGTAGATTTCGGCTTTCCGAGTTCTTTGGGATAGTGGGTAAGTGTTTGTAAGCGCGTTCTCTTGGAATTTACTTTGAAGAAACGTACTAACGTTTCTTTTTTTATTCTTTTTTGTAGATTTCGGCTTCCGGGTTCTTTGGGATATTGGGTAAGTGTGCGGCAACGCATTCTCTTGGAATTTACTTTGAAGAAACGTATTAACGTTTCTTTTTTTTATTCTTTTTTGTAGATTTTGGCTTCCCAGGTTCTTTGGAATATTGGGTAAATGTGTGGGGGTGCGTTATTTACGAATTTACTTTGAAGAAACGTACTAACGTTTCTTTTTTTATTCTTTTTTGTAGATTTCGGCTTTCCGGGTTCTTTGGGATATTGGGTAAGTGTGTGGGAACGCGTTCTCTTGGAATTTACTTTGAAGAAATGTACTAACGTTTCTTTTTTTATTCTTTTTTGTAGATTTCGGCTTCCCGGGTTCTTTGGGATATTGGGTAAATGTGTGG